TATGGTGCTTTAATTTGATTTATGGTAAATTATTTGGTGATTTTCACGTCTATACTCATTTTATAAACCTTAATACATAAAATAATTACATTTATTAGGTCTTGTAAAAAGAAAGATATCCATTTATAAATTCTTAGAAAAATTGTGAGAAGATACATACGGAGTATTTCACATGTAAACTTTAACACAATAATAAAACAATTCTTGAATCATATAATTCACAAAAAGGATTTGTTTTAAATAAAAAAATAGGAACAAAAGCAGCAAAAAAAAAAAAAAGAAACATTCAACAAACACAGTCACAAGTCTTTGGTTGCTTTGTCCATGGGTCATCACAAATTAATAATCATAGTGCACAGATGTTAAACTAAAATCCGACAAAAAGAATCTGCACAAATTTAATTATTTTCTTCCTCCCTAATTTGATTACAAATTATGAGTTACAAGATAAAATCTCACGTCTTTTGAATTTATTATATTGTATTTATAAATTGGTACATCAATAAAGAATAAAAATTACATATTAAAAAATTACATCAAAAGTTCAACAAAACAAGAAGTGACAAAGATATTTTATTTTATCAAATACTCAATGAAAACACACAAATAAATAAAAATTTATCGAGAGAAAAAGGATTATAATCTAATTTGAGACGAATAGAGTATTTAACACCAATTCATTACAAATCTCACTTCATGCTGAAGTGCTCTATATATATATATATATATATATATATATATATATATATATATATATATATATATATATATATATATATATATATATATATATATATATATATATATATATATATATACCACAAGATAAATATATATTCTCCTCCGTGTATAACGTTCAAACTATTACTCAAAACACTTTGGGTAATTACAAAGTAATGATGATGATGGAGTAAAATGTTCCAAGATGAGCATTAAAAAACTCTGATTTTATAACGGCCCGGTTCCATGGCCACTGGATTCCAGTGGCCACGGAAGCCACTGCCCCTCTACGGAGTTCCGTTCATAAAATTGATGATTCTTACCCCCTCTAACCCCCCTGGTAAACCCCCCCCCCTCCCGCCAAGTCCTGACCCAAACAAAATAAAATATTACGTCCCTTTTGTAAAATATTTTTGTGTTGATAAAAAACTACATTTTTTGTGTTTATTAAAAAAATGTATGGTAAAGAATGGTGGTATATAAATGGGGTATACCATTTACCACAAGCATAACTCTTTTGTAAAACTTCCATATATTTTTTTAATATGTACTCCGTAAGATTTATTTTTTATCTTTATACTCCGCACTAAATTTTATCCTCCGTCCCTAAACAGATGCCATTGTAATTATTATGGCTGGTCAATAACTTTTGTTTGTTTGTGAATTTTTATTTAATATTTGATAAAATAAAATATTCTTATCACATATTATTTTGTAAAACTTTTGATGTATTTTTAAACAATGATATTTATAATTTTTATTTTCATACCAATCTATAATGAAAATAATTTTAAAAATAATAATATTTTACGCATTGTTTATAATATAATATCCAAGAGAGTTACAATTATATTTTTAAAAAGTGCAATTTTACGCGTTATTCAAAATAAAATAATTCAGTGGACATGGATGAAGTATATTTAACACATTTCAACCCATGATGGTGGGTTCTATCGCTTTCGGCTTTTGCCCTGGTACGCGGTAATTAGCAACGGTTTTAAACTCTCAATTAAGTCAAATCGAATTGAAAGCATTGTAATAATGGTGTTTAGGATTTAAGGTTGCGTTTGTTTTGCCTGGAAGATAACATAAATGACTGTGTTTACTCTAGAGTCCTCTCGATTTTTTTACAATAACTTTCATGTCTTACATTATTTAAAATATGTTTCGTGTCTCTACAATCTGTGATAATGTACCTTGAAAGTACATTTCGTCAAACACCAAATAATTACAATACCTACTATAAATAATCATTTTATGTATTAAAATCTATAAAATGAGAAATGTTTATGATCAGGGAATAATTTGTCATTTTAAAAAGAATAGTACTCTCTCCGTCCTAAAACTTTCTTCCCAAAGCACTATTCCAACTTCACGGGAATTTATATTTATTTGTGTTTTTTCATGGCCTATATGATAAAATAAAATATTCTTGTCACCACTTGTTTTGTTGAACTTTTGATGTAGTTTTTAAATATGTATGTTTTATTTTTTATTTTCTATACCAATATTTAAATAAAATAGATTGAAAAAACTTGAGATTTTTCTTCGTTTTGCGCAACGGGAAGAAAGTTTTAGGACGGAGGGAGTACTAAAAAAAGGATGAGTCCATCCCCGACTACCCGAGAATCATCATTGGAGCTAAATTGGACTTTGATCGCAGATTAGTGACAGAAAATGAAACTTGCACCTACTACTTATAAAGACTTTATATTTGACATAGTTACCTTCCAATATAATTCTCAAGAATCGAACTTGAATCTTATCTTTTGGTACTTCTTGTCTTGCTAATTCCATAAAAATTTATAATCACAAGAATAGGGGTTTAGTATAAACAAAAGGTGGGCTATGAAGTCACTTACAAAGTTACAAGTTGTACATCCTCCACTCCAAATGACTTTAAATTTAGTTTCTTCTCTTTTTTCTTTTTTCTTTTTTCCTTTTTTTTTTATCTTTTTCTTTGTTTATGTTTGGTACAAGTGTACATGACATGAGGCAGACAAGGTGGGCCATGCCGTTGTAGCATCATACATTTGTTACCTCACATTCTCACAAAATCATGTTTATAGTGGGTACTTTTTCTTTGACATTAAGTTTATAACTACTTTTCAGAATTGGACCGGCGATCGAACCAGTCGAGGTACTGTTTCACTGGTCGAACCAGTGGTATAAACATTTTTAAAAATTATATACTCCGTATATATATATATATACACACACACACACACACACACATACATACTTCTTTTATCTAAAAATAAGTTATTTACGGAGTATGATATATGACTAATATGGTCGGGATCAGCATATGTGATTATTTTTTTATTTATACTATATTCACTTTATTCCATCATATCAATGGTAACACATGAAAAATTTTTACATTTTTTATTTTTTTAATCTCCGTGTTAAGTAAAATTGTGAAAAAAAATTTAGACGAAGGGAATATAACATTTTATTTGAGACGAGAAAGAGAATGAAATCCCTTCTTAAGTTCATATAGTGGGTTTGGTAGGTGTACTCCAAGGTAGTAAACCTCTCATAGACGTTAACTGTTTGTGTATCACACATAGACCTGATTAATGTTCGAGTCCGGCCCGTAACACTTGCGAGTACCCAAAATTTACAGGCCGACCAGCCGAATGCTAAAACTCGTCCCCAAGCCCGCATTTTTTGAGCAAACTTATTATCGAGTCGGATACCCGAACCCATGATCGGTCTAATAACAGAGACGTTGTCTGTGAGAATGTGGTATACACTTAAATACACAAACTTGGAGTAGCCTTAAGTTTTTTCCTTCATATATAACATGCCCAAAACACCCTTTTGTGACATGTCCCTCTTTTTGCCACTCTTTTACCCGACCCCCCAACTTCAATCCTACTTTTCTTCTTTCTTCTTCTTCTCTATCCCTCCCCTCCCCCGTCTCTCTCTATATGTATATGTATGTGTATATATACACACACACACAAATATTAAAAGCATATTCATATCTATATATCTCTGAGTTTAAGTTGCAGAGAGATCTCATCTGATCACTGAAATGGAACTCGAGCTCGGTCTGGCTCCGGCGTCCCATCGTTTCCTGGACATGACCGGAGATTCTGACTTGAACGGCGGCGATAAATCCGTGCCGGAGAAGAACCAGGCCGAGACGGCGATGATGAGGAAGAAGAAGAAACGGAGTTTCGATGAGGCGGCGTCTGAGAGCTCCGGGCGGCCGGAGAAAAGAACGCTTGCTCTGTTTCGATGGGGCGGGAAGGGAGATGATGGCGAGGAGGACGATGGAAATGACGCAGAGAAGTTGAGGAATTGCCTTGTTCATCAAAGGTACTGTACTTTTTAATTTCCCCATTTTTTTCTTTCTTGAATTGGTACTTTGTTCCTCCCATTGGCAAATTCTTTCCTTTTCTTTTAGGTCATTTTATAGACTTCCGACTTGTTTGGTATGATCATGGTAGCATTTAGTGTTAGCGTTTTAGAATTATTCTAACCATTAAAATATTATCTAAAATGTTAACGCTAATCGAAAACGTTGCTCCCAAAGAAGACCAAAATACATTAAATTAGTATTTATAGCAAGCCTTGTAAAAAAATGACTAAATTATGAGCAAACTTTTAGAAATTACCAAAATTAAAGCTCTGTTTTAGAGTTTCAAAATAAAAGTACAATGCCAATATACAATATAGTACCAAAAATACTGTAAGATGAAACTATACAGTATCGTAACGTCACACTGCAAACTCTTATTTTGTGAATAAAAACGTGAATTTCTTATTTTGAGAATAAATGCTACTATTCTACTTTTATTTAGGTGAATTTTAAAAAAAATAATTATGAGCCTTTGAAATATATATATATATATATATATATATATATATATATGGTAATTAAAGAAGAGTGAAAAAACTTTAAGAACAACAACACTACCTTGCAGTTTTAAAGAAGAGAAAAACTATCATAGTTACATTTTTTTAAAAGTAAATCTTTTTCTAGACAATTATAAAAGAAAAGTGAAAAAAAGTTTATGAAATGAAGTAAGTATTATTATTAAAGTTATAGGATTCGAGCACAATGTTTTTTTTTTACTTTTTACGGTATAATTTAACTTATTTATTTATTTTTGTCACGTTTAGTTTGGTTTTTGGGTAGGTCCATGTTTGGTCTTTGAAAGTAAAGAATTTTGGGTCAGTTTGGTACACGGAATTGACGGAATTGGAATTGAATTGAGAGTTGAATTTCTATGTAATTGATTTGGAAGGAATTGAATTCTTCCAATTCCATAGTTTGAATTCTGTGTACCAAACGGGGCCTCAATTCCAATTCACTTTTGGTACTACTAATCTAAATCTACATATTTTTTTTACTTCCAAACAACAAAATTGAAATTATTGTCCTTAATTCCAATTCCATATTTTCTTATTAGTGCTGTGTTAAAAAGTTTACTTTTTTTTTATTTTTTGAACATTTTTTAATCTACATGAAGTCAAATTGTCTAAATTGGCACAAGAGGGAAAGAGTTTATCGTTTTTTATTTTAAATTTTTTGTGATGATAAAATAATCTTGTTACTATTTATTTTATACTCCATGAAAGTTTTGATGTACTCTTGATTTTTAAATACTCCATATATGAACTTTATATTTAGATTTTAATTAAATATTTAAATAAATTAAATTAACTTAAATAAAACATTAGCACATATATAATTTATACTCCCTATAGTTTTGAGTTTGAAGAGTAGATTCTAAGTCCTTTTCACCAATTTCTTCAAAAAAAAATTTTTTTTCAATTAATCGTTTTTATTTGCATTGGACGAAATTCTGACATATTGATTCAAATTTGATCAATTTACAAGAAAATGACAAATTAAATACTACTACTCCACAGGGATAGAAAATTGACGCGCCCAAAAATAGAAAGTGAAAAAAATTAAAAAATAAAGGTAATAATTCGTTGGACTAATCGGAACTCGATGACACTAGGTGGTCAAGAGCAGAACCCGAATTCGAACTTATTCGAATTAAATTTAACTTGAACCCTAACCTGACCTGACTAATCGATTTGTCAGCTCTATATTTAGTTGATGATCTATGTACTTCATTTGTTTCATAAAAATATCTTTATTTTCTATTCAGATGATCAAATTTAACCATCTTTATTTGGATATGGTAGGAGGTTTGAGGAAGAAAGCACAATAGTGGGGTGGCCACCCATAAGATCATGGAGGAAGAGGGCTCTACATGAGCAGCAGGGGCACCAATGGGGTGGGTGGGTGTTTGTGGCAAATAATGCAAGATTTAATAATAATAATAATAATAATAATAATAATAATACAAATACCTTTAGTGATAATAATATTATTAATAATAATATCAATAATAATAATAATAATAGTAATAATAATAATGGTGGGAAAAGTTCTACATATGTGAAGGTGAAGATGGAGGGTGTGGGCATTGGGAGAAAAGTTGATCTAAGTCTCTATCATTCTTACCAAGTTCTCACCAACCACTTGATCAACATGTTTGCAAGATGTAAGTTGTTTAAGTTATTTTTCAAACTTAATTATTATCATATCTCCTTTTGTAAAGCATAATATCTCCCTCCATCCCCAAACAAATTTGACACACAAATAATGATGTTTGATCAGAAATATTTTTAATTTTATTTTATTTATATATTATTGTATGATATTTAAGGATATAAATTATCGTTAGTTTAAAAATTCCCTTAATAATCCTTTTCACACCATTTTGCTAGTAAATAAAAATACCCAATTGCTACAAGTAATTTAAAGTAGAAAATTGATTGCATATCATTTTAGTTATTTCGAATATATATTGTAATAGAGTTATCAGTGTTTAAGAAAATAGTTCTAATCTATTTGCGTATATGATTTTGGGTGTATATATAACAGATCGAGATTGTGACGAAAATGGAAGGGGTTATACCATATTGTACCAACACAAAAAAGGAGACTGGATGGTTGCTGGTGATGTTCCATGGACGTGAGTATATATATATATATTTATTTCTTTTGTAAAAATGTTTACCAGTTAGTATATTTAATTTGAATTCTAAAAACAGCTAAATATTACTTAAATAAATTTTCTTTAATCCAATTTGATTTTTATTTCAGGACATTTGTGGGGTCAGTTCGCAGGATAGAAATATTGAAGAGTAGAAAGTGAAGATGAAAATTGTGATTGAAATAGGCAGTGTACAATTTGTTCTATAAATTATGTGTGTGATAGGACACACTTTGTGCTGGTATTTAATAGCTCATTGTTGATAAATATTTTTTTAACTAATAAACTATTTGTAAACTAAATATCATTTCGTGGAAGTAAACTAACTTAAATGATAGGTAAGTGGTTTGGAAATACATACATTGTAAAAATAAATGTTGTCTTTTGAGAGAGATACATACATACTCGTAGTATTAGGAAACTTACCCTATGTTTTTTATTTAACAATAAATAAAATTAAGTACTATTGAGATAAACCCAAGTTTGATGATGATTTGGATAGCGAATTACGAGTATGTATGTATGTATCCTCTAGCAGATCATGAATATATCGGTGGACGTTGTGCAGTTGGCAAAGATAAAAAGTACCAAAGAAATATACTCATGTTTCATTACTAACAACGGCACCGGCCGATAGAGACAACTACGTTAAGCATAAGATCTCTACACATATCATACTGAACCTTTTTTTAACATGATACACATAAAATAATCCTATGAATGAGAATGAAGTTTCATGACTACATCCAATCCGGCCCATTATGATTCATATATTGGACCAAGGGCCATCGGGAAGATGGTATAGTTGTACCCTAATATTTTTTGGGCTTGCGCGCTTCAGTATTGGGCCTATTCGGGATCATCATACCATAGAAAGCTTTGTACTCCGTATTCCGTAACAAATTTGTATTCTACTCTGTATGAATCCTAAAATTACTATTTTAAATTTAGTTTTTTAATCACTTTTGACGATAAATTATAGAAAAAATATAGAGAGTTATAATCTACATTTGACCATACTTGCTTTAGGATATAATTTCGATATCTCAAGTTTTTATAATATTTATTTAATCAAAACTTTATTTAATTTGTGTTAAAGTTTAAAGATAATCAATCAAGTAACCCTTACACTATGTTTGGTTCAAAAAATTTGAAAGGAAAAAAAAAATGAAGCGAAAAACCATTTTTCTTGTTTGGTTAGATGGGAAAAGTGAAAGGAAAATAAAATGAGGATGCAAAATGTACCAAGTGGATGGAAAACCAAATTTCTTCCATTTTGGTGAGGAAAATGTGAGAAAACCATTTTTTTTCTTTTCCTTCCAAAATCTTTGAACCAAACATAGTGTTAATAAATTTTTACTCTCTGTGTTTCAAAGTTATCGTTCTAACTTGATTTTTTTGGTCACTTAGACTAAAAGTCTTAGAAAAAATATATTTAATTATAAAATAAGTTTGACAAAATTAGGCTTATTTAATATTTAATTTTAATACCGAACTATTAAATTTTTATAACATTTACTTCGTATTATTTTAAAACTATATCTAATTCCTGATAAGAAAGAGAATCAACGAGAATAAGTATTTTTTATATCAGAATGTTATAAGATTTATTTATTTAAAACTTTATTTTGGCATTAAAACTATCTCCATGTTTGCTCCTATATATTTTTGTATTTCCCTAGACCTGTTTGGTCACTTAAGTGCTGAACCAGTAAGAGGTCTGAACCATTAAGTGCTGAACCAGTAAGAGGTCTGAACCATTAAGAGCTAGTATATTGCTTAACTATTCAGAGGCAAATGTCTGATCAACTCAGATAAGAGGTCTTAACCATTCAGACTCTGTATAATACTTAACCATTCAGACATCTGAACCATTAAGAGGCTGAAACAAACAGTCTGAATCATTAAGTGCTGAACCATTCAGACATTTGAATCATTAAGAGGCTGAAACAAACAGCCCCTTAGACAGTTAGACTACAAACTGTAGGCAAAGTATATATATTTATAAAGTAATTTTGATATAATTATGCTTATGTTAAAATTCAATTTTAATATGGAATATATGAAACTAGTATAACAATTACTTTGTATTAATGTAGGATTTAATTTCGAGAAATTTTATAATATTTATTTATTCAAAAATTTATTTAATTTGTGATAAAAATTTGATATAATTGAGACGATCATGATGAGACCCTTAACAAATTTGTACTCTCTTTGTGTCTCAAATTGATCGTTCAAACTTGACCTTTTTGGTCACAGACACAACAAATTCAAAAAAAACACGGAGTATTTATTTATAAATTAAATTTGATATAATTATATAGTTATATTAAGATATATTTTGAATGTGGGATATATCAAAATTTATAGCATTTACTGCGTATTAATTTAAACTATATTTAATTTGTAATAAAAGAAAAAAAATAGAATCAATCAGAAGAAATAATCTCTAAACAAATTTGTGCTCTCGTCATCTCAAAATCATCTTTTAAATTTGACTGATCTAATCACCTAAACCACAAATTATAGAAATGAAACATACTGAGTATTTAATTATAAAATAAACAAGCTTATGTTAAGATATAATCTTTTTGTTTTTTTGAATGAATGTTAGGATATAATCTTAAGATATAATCTTATTGTACTTATTCCATATTAAAGCCTTACTTATTACTCCCTTCGTCCTAAAACTTTCTTCCCGTTGCGCAAAACGAAGAAAAATCCCAAGTTTTTTTAATCTATTTTATTTAAATATTGGTATAGAAATAAAAAATAAAACATACATATTTAAAAACTATATCAAAAGTTCAACAAAACAAGTGGTGACAAGAATATTTTATTTTATCATATAGGCCATGAAAAAACACAAATAAATATAAATTCCCGTGAAGTTGGAATAGTGCTCTGGGAAGAAAAATTTAGGACGGAGGGAGTAAATTCTAATTTCTAATATTAAAAAAAGATTTAGCATGGAAAAAACGATCACGGTGGGACTCGAACCCACAATCTCCCGCTCCGGAGGCGAGCGCCTTATCCATTAGGCCACGCGACCTGTTTGTTCAAGTAGTAAACAGTTTAATTATATTACAATATTTGTTACCTTACACGCACCTTAATAAAACGTTTAAACTTTAAACGTGTTTGAAGAACAAATGACATATGAATTTAATATATTCATATATTTTTTGCAAAAAAAATTATATATTTAGATATCAAAAATGTTATTTATGTTTCGTGAAACTTACACAATTTTTAAATATAAAAATTATTGTAAAAATTAGAGTTTTGAAATCTTCTAAATTTGAGAGACACCAATGTGATGATTGATATCTCTCTCAATTACCGAACACTCTAACGTCATCATCCACCCGCAGTCATTCATTCCCTATTGTCACCAAGCCTTGTTTATAACTTAAAATTATGATCTCAAATTTTTACAAATACTTTCATTTCAGTTTTAAGAACTCATATTAATTACTTTTAATTTCTCATATTTTAAAAAACACATCATATCAAGTTTTCAAAATCACCAACATAGGCTCTTATTAGCATGCAAGGGTTTCTTTGGTGATTGATTATATAGATTTTTCTTATTAAAAATGATACTCTCTTCGTTCCTCCTTTCCCAAGCATGTTTTAACGCACGGGAGGCGTTAAACACCGCCCTTCTCTACCGTCATTAGGGCGTCAAAGGCCCGCGCTAAAGCTTTGACGTTGGGCCTCTCCCTCCCCCAATGACCATTATTTGGATCATTGGGCATTAATTTAAATTTTATTTTCAAAACTATAAATAAATATCCCTTATTTTTAACACAACAAACACACATAATCTATTCTCATTCTCTCTATAAAATATACGCATGTATTTTTCTTCATAATATATATGATCATAGAAGACAACGAGTTTGCAATATGTCATTACAATCCGAACGAGGAGGTTCTTACGTTCAAACAAATCCATGAAGAAAAGAAACGAATTGATATGAGAGTTTTACAGCGAAGGAACAAAAACCCTAGGCGGCAATGTTGGGTTGTCCCTAGGAGTTCGTCCGTGCGGCAAAGGAAGGAGGAAGTGGAATTATTACTAAACTAAACTTTGTACTATTGCTTGCTTAACAAAGTATGGGGACTTCTCCTTTTATAACGGATATATAAACCCTAATCCTAATCCTGTCAATTCAAGAAAGGCATCAAGGGAAAGAACTGAAAAGAAAACTCTTGAAGTGAGTTATAACTCGTCCAGACGTCCACCTAATAAAATCTAAATTATAAGTAAAAAAGGATCGTAATAAAAATATTAGACGTAATCATCGTAACGTTGTGGTCGTCGTACATTCCTCCTCGGTCATCCGACCTCTTGGGCTTGCTCTCGATCTTCACCTGCTGGCTCATTCACACGTACCGGATCACCACTCTCTGATCTGCATGGGCTACATGCGTCGGACTATTGTCTTCATGGGCCGTATCGAATAACTCCTCTCGTAGAGCTAAGCCCGTATCACGAATAAACCGCCAAGAAATTCGAAACTGAGAGATTCTGAACGCACTAACGGCATATTTGATTGAAAATATTTTTAGCCGCTCGAATAATCACTAATTTCTTTGTAATGTAATTTTTATTTTTTATTTATGTTGTTATTATTCAAAAATTATTTTATTAATGTAGTTTTTTATTAATTTTTTTTATTTAATAATTATTATCGTTTCAATTCAATTAAATCATAAAATCTTATTAGTTTAATTTAGAAGATGTGTATTCAAAAATGTAAAAAATAAAGGTTTGAAGCCTCACTTTGAAACACCATGGATTCAAACCCATTTCCTATAAAATTTTGATATAAGTTAAAGCTGAAGATGTTTGAATTCTGAGTTTGAGACTTTACAACCATTTCGAGTGCTCTAAACCTTTGAAATTGCTCTTACCAAACTTACCTAATCTTCAATTAATATACACCGTCCGGTCTGTTATTAGTTCACGAGTGGCTTTATTAACCCACCACCCCACGTACTCAGTTACTCACGAATTGTTTGTGGAATTTACGGACTCATACCATATTACATTATTACCATTTGTATGTTAAAAAATATACTCCGTAATTAATTACTCCCGTTCGTTTATTTGTTCGGTTCATTTTTTACACACGTGAGATGTTTGATTAACTATATACTCCCTCCGTCTCGAAAAACATGAGAGTTTTGATTTTAAATAGGGATTTAAGAGGATCGTATTTAGGTATTGAATTTCTAAAAATGTCTTTTGATATGATGGGTAAAAGTATGATTTGATGGATAGATTA